AGGGTCCCCCGGGGTTGATGACACAGCCCTGGAAACTGGAGCATTTGCTCACTAGCAGGGCGGGTCAGCAGCGCCACAGTCACCTGAATGTCCACGCCCCGATCCTGGAGCCTGAGTGTCTGGGAGTTTGTGGGTCTCAGGAGTCTGGGGTGGAGAAGGGGTCGTAGGTTTGGAGGAGACTGGTGCTGGCCCCTCACTGGCCGTCAACAAGGAGACGGGGCCAGGATCCCCCTCCTGCCAACACCCTGGTGAACAAGGAATTGGTCCTGGGAACACCCTGGTTTGCCTGCCAAGACCCTACCTGGGCGGTTGGCTGAGGGGGCTTCACTAGGGGTGGCACCCATGAGGGAGGTCCCAGGACGGCAGGGGCAGGGCCTATGAAGAGCCAGGTGTGCCCACTGCACTGGGGAACGGGGAGGGTGCCTGGGATGCACACAGGGCCAGCGGGCAGGGCCTCCCGGGTACGGTCAGGACGCGGCTTTGCGGATCCTTGCGCTGGAAGCCAGGCAAGGGCCTTGTGTCTCCAGCCAGGCCCCGCCTGCGTCTGCACTGAGAGTGGGATGTGGGACACAGGTGTGGGGACCTGCAGACGGCCTCTGTCACACTCACATGGCAGGAGGGGAGAAAGCGGGTGGACAGCGGTAAAGTGCGTCGCTCAGAACCAGTGGCAGGCTGGGAGCAGGGACAGGCAGCATTGCAGAAACAGGCAGTGTGTGGGGGTCCTCAGCACTGGGTGCAGCGCCCCCTCTGGCGTTGGAGCCTGGGGAGAAGGGTGCGTGCAGGGGCCCCAAGCCTGCTGAGAGCTGGCCTTCCTGCCGAGGGGCTTCAGGCAACTTTTTCTCCCCCTCTGCCCCCCTTCTCTCCTTCCTTCCTTCCATCTCTTTTGCAGTGCTGGGGCTGAGCCTGGGACCTCCACCCTGTTCCACATATCCTCAGTCCTTTTCTGTTTTCACATGGGGTCTTGCTAAGTTGCCCAGGGTGGGCTAGAATATTCAGTCCTTCTGCCTCAGCCTCCCAGAGTGCTGGGATGAATGACAGGTGTGCGTTACTGTGCGTGGCTTCATTAAGCAAACTTGTTTCCCTGAGCCTTGATTTTTCCATCTGTAAAGTGGGGTGATAGTTGTTGGGTAGCAGAATGGTTTTTCTTGCCAGAAGCAAACAGCACTTCTCAATCTTTAAGGACCTGAGACTCCCTGGGACATTGTCAAACAGCTTCCCATTCAGGGCAGGGCTTGGGTTCCTGGTTTCCAGCATGACTGGCATCTCACCGCTAGTAACCTTGTGTTGGGTGCCTGGTGGGGGCGGGGCTCACCCCAGTTTGCCCATTGCTGGCCCCTTCAGGAGTCTGCATTTGACTTGCCTAGCAGGCTGATCTCCCACAGGTGTGGCCCAGCTGCTCCCCCTCCGCGGCTGAGAGCAGGGGGTGCTTTTTTGAAAGTGAAATTTAGCAGGGTGTAGGGAAAATCAAAGCCACCTGAAATCGGGCCCAGCCGTGCGAGGTTTCAGGGTGTTCTTTTCATCTTGGCCCCACGCCGGCGGGCCACCAGCAGCTGCTGTGCAGCGCAGCCCCCTGTGGACACCTTGCCCTGGCTCCAGCCGGCAGGGGGAACCCCACCCAAAAGCCCCCCTGCGGCCTCGGGCTTCCCCCTCCCACTCCTGCCTCCCGGCGAGGGGTGCAGCCAGTCCCTGGCGGCTTCTCTCTTCCCGAGGAGCAGCAGGAGCCATGGACCCCACATTGCTGCCAGGGTGCACCCCAGAGCTCCCGTGCCACCTCCCTCTACACCCTGAGTTCCCTGGGAGGGCAGGGTTGTCCCTCTTGCCGTGGTCAGGGGCAGCAGAGTGTGTTCACGTCCTGACCTGGTCACACAGTGTGATCTCAGGGTGAACCTTTGCCACCCGGAGCCGGTTGCCATGGGAACATGGCCCGCGGGAGCTGGCGGGTCTACAGTCTTCTCCTCACTTTCGCAACAGCAGGTGTCAGTGAACTTGACCCCGTTTTCTGGGTTCTTGTAAAGAGATGACATCATAGGCAACCAAAATTCCCCAGTGGCCCTGCTGGGGAGCCCAGGCCAGCAGCTTGCAGGCTTCTGGGGTGGATACCGGGTGATGGGACTGAGTCGCGTCCCCAGCTGGGCCCCCTCTCCATGGGGGGAATGACAGGGGCACACCCTGTCTGTGGTGTTGGGTGGAGCCTCGCATGGAAAACAGGGCTCCCCATCTTCTACTGACTCCACGGGCCCCCACTCTAGCGGCAGGTGTGTTACTCAGACTGAGCATCCTCGGCGCCCCCTGGTGGCAGGCTGCGGACACACAGTGATACCGAGCAGCCGGCACCTCCGTGCTTGGGGCCCTTATTTACACGCGTGGTTTTGTCTACTTGCTCGATTTCTTGCCCCCTTCACACGTACATATTATCAGCACTATTATTTGACTTTGCCAATCCGTTTTCAGGGTAGCTGCCGACGTTTCAATCCTTCCCTCCTTTCCCCATAGTTTCCAACCCGGTGATCCCGCTCACGCCCGGCTCGGGATCCAGCCCTGCACTGCATGCAACCATCGTGGCTCTGTTCTTTTCCTTCTAGAACATACCTCAGCGCTCCATGTCTGGACATTGTGGCGGGTTTTTGTTGTTGTTGTTTGTTTTTTGAGACAGATCTCACTATGGAGCCCAGGCTGGCCTCGAACTCATGGCCATCCCCCTGCCTCAGCCTCCTGAGTGCTGGGATTCCAGCGTGCACCACCACACTCCGCTATACACGGACATTTTAAAAGTGTTCAGGCCACTTGCTTTGTAGAAAGTTTGGATTTGATCCAGACCATGGACTTTGGGCAGGAAGACCTCAGAGGGGACATGGCGTCCTTCTCAGTACCCTGAGGCCTTTTACTTTTAAACAGAATCGGCTTGCAGCCAGGCATGCTAGCCTACAGCGGGACTCCAATCTCTTCTTGGGCAGACAGCAGTTTCCTCCTCTGTAACATGAGGGCTTGGCCCCATGGGGCAGGGGCGGGTGCAAAATAGTTTTCCTCAATCTCTCAGCCCGCCATGGCCCAGGGCACGGTGGCGGAGGTTGGCATGCACAGTAGGTTGCTCTCAGCTGTCCCCAGGCCCCAGCAGCTGTGGCCCCTTAGGCCCTGTAGCTGTCAATGAGCTGATGGAGCAGGCAGGGAGGGGAAGCCCAGGGTCGGGGCCAGAATTTCCCCACACTCTTTGCCGCCTGGAGATGCTGCACGTCTCAGGTTGCACAAGGTCCTGGCAACTCCCTGCCCCAGAGGCTCTGGGAGCCTGGGGTGACCGAGGGGGCTCTGGGGGAATGAGAGGAGATGCACAAATGCTTGGTGACTGTGCCTGGCGGTGTGAGGTTGTTTGGTCTTGGTGACGCTGGGATAGAATCCAGGGCCTCCCGTATGCCAGACAGAGCTCTACCCTGAGCCCCAGCCCTGCTCTGCCCCGTTGTTGGGTTATAGTTATCATTTCGAGTTAATACGGTGACATATTTTGGATTTGACAAAAGATGGAGAGAGCGAGAAAGAGTGATGTAATCAGCACCCACACGCCCTCTTCCGGCCGCACCAACCTCTCTGTTGCTCTCTGAAGGTTCCAGGCTCTGTCTCCATCTACAGCTTTCCTGAGCATGCAGCTGAGCCAGGCAGGCCCCGAGGCCAGTGCGGGGAGAAGGCTTCTGCCCTCCCAAACTGAGAGAGCTCCACATCTCTTAGCTGGTCCCTCCTCTCTGCCAGGCAGCACCTTGGATGCCAAAGACAAAGCTAGGGGCCCAGGACCTGGTCCTTTCCCCTCTGGGAGTTCCCTGACGAGTTTTCCAGAACTATAATTGGCTTTGGTATGCCCTTCCCCAGGGAGGATCAGATTCCTCCCCAGGATCCCAACAGAGGCCTTCCTCTTTGGAATCTAATGATGACACTCAAAGTTCAAAGAGCCCTAAACTTTTTGGGGAGCCTGTTTGTGAAAAAAACAATACCTCCAATTTCCCCATGCGTGAGAAGGACTCCTGACTATGAAGCGGAAGCCATCCTGTCTAGAAGATATCGCAGGGGCATCTCAATGACACAGAGCATGTCTTAGGACGTGAAGCAAAGGGCGTCATCCATTTCTTGAGAAGCTGAGGCAGGAGGATCACAAATTCAAGGCCAGCCCTGTCTCAGTATGCAAATAATGAAATGGGTTGACGATCACAGAGCACTTGCTTAGCATGCACAAAACCCTGGGTTCAAAAGAAACAGAGGCATTGGCTCAAACAGAAAAACTTGCTGAGTTGGCCGTATTAACCCTAAGAATATCTGTTCACCCAAAGGTGCCATTGGAGAAACGGAAAGGCAGCCGTAGAACAGGAGAAACCAAGGGTCTGTACTTGAAACAGATAAAGCCAGCAATGAAAAAATCAGACCACTTACTTTTTAAGAAAATTGGCAGACAAATTTAGCAAACACCCTGGGTGTGGTGACACACACCTGTAAACCCAGCACTTGAGGAGCTGAGGCAGGAGGCTTGCAGAAAGTTCTAGGTCAGCCTGAGCCATACAAAAGCCACCACCTCAGCTGGCCTCCTGCCGTTTGCAACAGTGCAAACCATCCTCACTGTATAAGGGAGAATCGGTTCTCACCCCATAAGGTCGAATTGCACAGCTGGTTGCAAGACTTTGATCCAACCCATGTCAAGTTCAGAAGGGACCTCCAGGGCAGCAGGATGCATGCTGGGTGTGGGCATGGTTCCCCTTGCAGATCTGGGGGAGGGGGCTGTGCCCCTGGGGCCTGCGTGCCTTTCCATGGGGCTGTGTTAGGTTAAGGTGAGGCAACCATGTTAATCCAGGGGAGGGGCTGATAAATGGGACTCACTGGGCCGATGGTCCAGGGATGGCCCAGTTGGGGGACACAGGGCTTTGGAAGTCCTTGTCCTGATGTCCCCTGTAACATGCACTGGGCAGCCGGAGGGAGGGCAGATGTCCAGGGTGCGCCTGGCCTCACCAGCTTCTGTGATCCTGCAGGATCGAGCCCTGGCTCCCACCTGCACCGGAGACCCCAGCCGATACTACGACAGGGCTACGGGGCAATGCTGCTACCGCTGCCTCCCAGGTGAGTGGGGACCTGGGATGGGGACAAGGGGACCTTCGCCCACAGGTTATGACCCGGGAGGGGGGCATCGGAGGGTGGGAAAAGCACCTGACAGTCATCATCATGATGGGCAGTGTGGTTTTTTTAACTGATGCATGTTTGCAGTACGTCATGATCACGGTCCTTGTGGGCAGCTGGTCCACACACGACCCATCTCAGTTCTGTCCTCGCCCCCTTCCTCTCCCCTGCCCCCTCCATCTCTGGGTTCCCTTCCCTTTTGTAAAAGATCTGTCTCCCCGGCGACATGTTCTGAGAGTTGTCCCTAAAGTCACAGAGACCCAGGACCGTGCGAGAGCAGGGCTGGTGGAGTTGGAGCCTGGGTTTTTGCAGCTGCTGCACCGAGTCCCCCTGGGAGTTTCTGTTTTAACTCACAGCTGCCCTGTCTTGAACACTCACCGAGCACACTGCATCTGAGACCTCAGCAGTGGTGCGTCATCTCCTGAGCCGCTGTTACCCTTTTTAGACCCATTTTGCAGATGAGGTTGCTGAGGCCCTGCACAGTTCAGTAATTCGCCTGGGGTCACAGAGCTAGAACACGTGAAGCTGGCTGGGACTGGAGCTCAGAACCCATGACCCTCCCAACAGCCCCTCATTTCTAGGCCTGGAAACCCTGTGCAGTTCTAATCTACTGTAGCCCAGAACTCGTGTTTGTCCCATATGACCTGGACTGGAGAGCTCTTGGGGAGACAGCTGGGGTCTTGGGATGTTTGCCCACCCCCCTAACAGCAATGGTTCCTAGGAGGTGTTCAGGAAAGCCTTCTAGAACATTCTCCAGATGATGTTCAGGCCTAACAGGGTCATGAGGCTTTCCAGTCCCTGTGGTTATCGTCAAAAGTCCCAAGGCCCATGCAGTGGCCATGGAGGGGTGGGGACTGAGACCGAGAGGGGCTGTGGTCTCCGGGCTCCGGGAACAGAGGTATCCCGGTGGAGGTGAAGTCTCTGTCATGACCTAGGAGGTGGGAGGAAGCTGTGAGCCTGGCTGTGAGCCTGGCGACGCAGGCTGAGCCAGCCTGTCTGGAGGACTTCCTGAGCTGGAGGGTGGGAGGCATGTCCACTGCTCTGTCCTCCTGTCATGCTGGATGCAAGGAGGGGGTAGGCTGTGACACACAGGCCATCAGGAACCCCTAGACCCAGGCACAGAGCCCAGGGGCAGGAAGCAGCTGCAGAAAGAACGGATGCTTTGTATTAGCTGATTCCCAAGTAGCTGCAGGGGGCCAGCAGGGGCCAGCAGGGGCCAGCAGGGCTCCGCTGGGCTCTTCTGCCTGTGGAATGGCTGCTGCTCACTTCAAGTGGCAGCTCCCGAGTGGGGCTGCTCCCCCATCACTTCCCTTTCCACAGACTGGTGGCCTGAACAAGAAACTGTGCAGTTATTCCCCGTGGTCTGGAGCTGCAAGGTCAAGGTTCCTGCAGGTTCTTGGGAGGGCGCTTCCTTGCTGGCCATCGGCTGCCTTCTTGTGGTGGGGAGATGCACGCTCTGTCTCTCTGTCTCAGTCTCTATCTGTCTGTGGCTCTCTCTCTCTATCTCTGTTTCTGTCTGTCTCTGTCTCTCTCTCTCTGTCTCTGTCTATCTCTGACTCTCTCCCTCCCCCCTACCGTCTCCTTGAGTTTCTCTCTCCTTTTCACATACAGCACCCGCCCAGTGGATTAAGCCTCCATCCACTTGACCTCATTTACCCTTACGCAGTCACCTCCTAAAATCCCTGTCTCCAAACACAGATCTGTTGCAGGTTAATGCTTCGGCGCACGAGCCTGAGGCGGACCCAGTTTGGTCCGGAACATTCCTCCTGCCTCCTTCCCACCCTCCTCCTGTGCACCCCCTCGCCCCCACCGCTGCTGTCTCCTCTCATCCGCGTCCCCAGCAGCACCCTTCCAGCAAGTGCCCATTGCTGACAGTTACTTATTTATTTGTTTGCTTATTTGTTGGTTTACCATGTAGTGCAGGCTGGCTTTGAATTTGAACTCATGGCGATCCTCCTGCCTCAGCCTCCCAAGTGCTGTGATTACAGGCCAGGCCACCACGCCCAGCCTCTCTGCGTGTTCTTAGAGCAAGGTCCTTTGGAGCCTGTCCAGCTCTTTCTGCCTTGGCCTCTCCTGGCTCTGGGCTCACGCCTGAGCCTGTCCCTCTGGGGTGCCCTCTCCATCGACTCCACCTGCTGCAGTCCTCACCTCCTTGGCCAGCAGGGGGCGAGTGGGGTGCCGGTTCCCACAGCTTCTCCGGAGTGATGTGACCCTTAGGGTTCTGAGACTTGCCGGGGGCCCCAGTCCCAGCCACCAGGAGAGAGACAAACCCTCCTGTGGGTCCTCTCTGCCCAGCGGCGGTGGGGAGGGGTGACATTCGAGGGCCCCACCTCCCTCCACCAACCAGAAGCTTTGACTGAGGAAGGGGTCCCCCACTTCGGCCCCTCCCTAAGGGGGGGACACTAGATGCCTGGGAGGGGGGCGGGGCACTTGCTGGAGTTTTATTGACCTTGTCCTTCCGGGTAAGCCACAGAGGAAAAACAAAAACCCCACAAAAACCCCTCCTTCCATGTTTTGGGGAAATTTTTGACATTTTGCTGGCGCTTTGCCATCGGCTCTCAGCTGTGCTGCAGGTTTGCACGTGGGCGGCGGCGGAGGAAGGAAGCTGGGCGGCCTTTGAGATCAGAAGTTGGGGCGTCTCTCATCCCTCCCTCTGAGGCCTTCCCAGCCCTCCTGGCAGCGCCTGGGCACGCGGCTACACACTCTCGGGCCGGGAAGCTCTCTCCCTGCGCCCTAGCACCCACCACCAGTCACGGAGATGAGAGCACCACTGGGCAGCCCTGGGGGGGCTGCACGCCCCTTCCTGCTCCCCACTGTGCCTTTACCCCAGCTTCCCCTGCCGCGGGAAGGAGTCCCACCTGCAGATATTCGAGGACAGCCTGGGTCTTGGCAGAGTGTTTGGCACAGTTTGCATAGAAGCATAGTTTGCTTGGGGCCTGGAGGGTGTCCCCTGTTGGGTCTCAGGAGCTGAGGGGTCCTGGGGCTGTGAGGAGGAAGAGAACTTTACGGGGCCCTGTGTCCGTCAGCTTTCTCAGTGCTGGAACAAAACACCTGACACCAGCATTGAGGAGGAGGAGGTGCCAAGCAGGGTGGCACACGCCTATAATCCCAGCGCTCAGGAGGCTGGTGCAGGAGGATCGCTGTGAGTTTGAGGCCAGCCTGAACTACACAGAGGGATTCTGTCTCAAAAACAAAACAACCAAAGGCAAAAACAAAAACACATCAGTCCACCGTCCCGCTCACCCACCCATTCCTCCACCCATCTGCCCATCTATCCCTGTCTCACCTGCCTCCCTGCTCACCCGTCCACCTACCAACCCACCCGTCCACCCACCCAGCCATCTAGCCAGCCGGCAGCCACCCGCCCACTCACCTACTGTCATCCACTTGCCCACGCACCCATCCACCCTTCTGTCACATCTGAGGGTCCAGCCCCCACCACCCTGCTGTCTGAGCAGCTCTCTGGGATGGTAAACCCCACACCAGCAATGAACCAGAGGGATGGAGCTTAAGCAGGGGAAAAGCAAGAAAGGGAGCAGATGGACAGCTGCCCTGCTGAGAACAGAGGCGGGAGCTTTGGAGAGATGGAGGCCCCGTGGGCCTCTGTTCCAGGATGCTTTTATGGGTGCCAGGGACCCTCCCCTCACCCGGAACCTGTCACAATCTGTCTGGGCTGTTCTTGGATTAAACTGGCCATCCCTTGTCTCCCTGTGCATCTGTTAGTGGGCTTGTTCCTTGCAGGGCCTTATCTCCAGGGCAAGCAGCTGGTTGGTTAGGAGGGGACTTGTCTATGGTTAGCTTAGAATGGTAAGAGGGTGTGTGTCTGTCTGGCAGTAATGTGACCCTAGAGTGAACATATACACATAGATGTTAGTGCATAGATAAGGGTGTGCATTTGGATGTGGGGAAGGGCAGCTCTCTCAGCTTCTTGGCTCTGCACACTTGGCTGTCCCTGTGCTGTGCCTGTTAGCGCTCTCTCTCTCCCTCTCTCTCTCTCTCTCTCTCTCTCTCTCTCTCTCTCTCTGTCTCTCTCTGTCTCTGTCTCTGTCTCTCTCTCTCTCTCTCTCTCTCTATTTCTCTCTCTCTCTCTCTGGTAAATCCCTAATGCCACCTGTGCTATCTTATGTCTTTTTGTTTCTTTCTGGTTTTCCCTTTTTTCTATCCTTGTCCTAGAGGTTGGTCCCAGGGGAAATTCTCTAATAAAGTTAGAAAATCTAATGAAGCCTTATCCTATTTTCTGCCTACCTACAGACCCCATTCCCTACACTTCCACCCACCCATCCATCCATCCATCCATCCATCCACCCACCCATCCATCCATCCATCCATCCATCCATCCATCTACCCATCCATCCATACATACATACATACATCCACCCATCCATCTACTCATTCATCCATGCATCCATCCATCCATCCACCCATACATCTGTCCATCCATCCATCCCTCCATCCATCCACCCATGCATCTGTCCATCCATCCATCCACCCATGCATCTGTCCATCCATCCATCCATCCATCCATCCATCTACCCACCCATCCATACATCCATCCATCCATCCACCCTTCCATCTACTCATTCATCCATGCATCCATCCATCCATCCACCCATACATCTGTCCATCCATCCATCCCTCCATCCATCCACCCATACATCTGTCCATCCATCCATCCATCCATCCATCCATGCATCCATCCATCCACCCACCCATGCATCTGTCCATCCATCCATCCATCCATCCATCCATCCACCCACCCACCCACACATCTGTATACTCAGCCATCCATTCACTCTTCCACTGACCCTCTTGTCTATCCACTCACCCATCCATCCAATCATTCGTGCATCCATTCACCCATTCATCTGTCCATCCATTTGCTCATCCACCATTCACTCATCCATCCATTCACTGATCATTTCCTGTCAACCAGGTCTGATTCAGGCGGGCAGATGTCACCTTGCCCTCACTAGTTCAGTCTTAGCATCACGCCAGCTCATGAGAGAAGGGTGTCATAGTTTTAATTCCTGGAAGTAGATGGTTATGGGCTGAACTGGTGGCAAGGGGTGCTGAGCACAACAGATGAGGGAACAGGAGGCAGGCAGAGGGGCTGGTGGCCCAGAGGCTGGAGGGGCAGCACTCTGTTCACTGATTTGGCTGTGACCCTGATGCTGAGCCAGAGATAAGAGGTGGTGATGGGAATGTGAGGACAGGTGTGAGGACAGCTGGGGAGTCAGGAGGGGCTGACTGGGGACTGCACAGGAGTGTGTGCTGAGCAGATGGGGCAGGGATTGGGAATAAGTTCTAAGGTCACCTCCTCCGCCAATCCGGAGCCTCAGCCACATGCTTTCTGATCAGAAGACACTGAGAAGAGAGGTGGGAGAAGAACGGAAAAGAAAGGGGTGAACCCCACAATCCTGCTCCCTCTGCTCCAGCTCTCATGGCCTGGCTATTCATTGTACAAGTCATGCTTGACCTCAGGCCCTTTGCACAGGCTGATCCTCTGCTCTCACCTCAGTGCTCTGCATGGCTGTCACCTTCTGTCCTTCTGGTCTCTGTGAGCTCTCCCTCCAGGCCCCTGCCTTCCTTATGCTTCATGCTTCACCGTCCTCAGAGTTTTCAGCAGCATGGAAACCAATTTGCTAGTTTCCTTATTACTAACTGGATTCTCTCCCAGGCCAGAGCAGAAGATCTGGGAGAGCGGAGACTCTCCCTTCTTTGATCCCTAAATCAGGAGCTGGGACAGAGGTGATAGTCAGCAAATATAAACTCTCAAAAAATAATCCCATAGCCAAGTTCACCACTCTGAGTCCAGCGGGGCAGCTTCTGCAGCCCGACGTGCCCGATGCTTACCTCAGAGTAGCCTCTGGTGCTGGGACCTCTAATTCTTTTATTTTTTGAGACAGGGTCTCCCTGTGTAGTTCAGGCCAGCCTTGAACTCATTTTGAGTCCAGGTTGGCCCTGACCTCATGGCAATCCTCTTGCCTCAGCTTCCCAAGTGCTGGAATTACAGGTGTGTGCCACCATGCTCAACTCTGACAGATTTTGAAGGAACCCAGAAGGCATCTGCGTGGGGTCAGATGATCAGGAATGTACTTTGAAGAGATAGTATTCAGTCTGAGAGAGAGAGACAGAGACAGAGACAGAGAGACAGAGAGTTCTGCTGAAGACCTAGGTTTCTATTCAGAGAGCCAAAGAAACCCTTTGAAAGTTTTAGGCAAGGAGTGATTGGGTCATATTTATCACTCAGAAAGACTTCTAGTGTCCTAGGCATGGTGCTGCACAGCTATAATCCCAGTGATTTGGGAGGCAAAAGCCAGAGGATTGCAAGTGTGAGGCCAGCCTGGGCAAATTACTATTGAAATAAAAATACAAAGGCTGCCTCAAAATAAAAGAGTTGAGTTGGGGAAGTAGCTCAGTGCAAAGACCCTACGTTGGATCTCCAGAATCAATCGATCAATCAATTCAATTCAATTTTTAAAAGTAAAAAGGATCATAGCTTAGTGTTTCCTGAGTTTCATCCCCAGGACTGGAGTGTGGCGTGGTGTGGGGACACAACTTGTGATCTATAGAAGTTTCCTGGGTGGGGGGAAGGACACCCATCAAGCTTGTAGTTTAGAGAAAGGTCTTTGTGTCTTGTTCTAGAGCAGGGGATATTACACTGGGTGCCCATGGATGCCCAGGTAGATTTCAGAAGCCCAAGAACCTGAACTTTTTTTTTTTTTTTACCTTAATTGTCCTGTAGCTAAAATGCCCTTAAAGCAGCCACATTGACACACTCAGTAGGCTGAAGCAGGAGGATCAACAGTTTGAGACCAGCCTGGGATATCTAGTAAGTTCAAGACCAGCTTAACTGCATAGTGAGACCCTACCAAAAAACCCCAAAAAAACCCTAAAAATTGCCTTATGAATTCTTTGCCTTATGAGTTCAGGCAGCAAAACACAGCAGTAATTACTTTGTCATCAGTAGAAATCACAGACTTTCTCACATTACAGTTGTAGCAGATAACAGAGAATATTGTTTAGGTTTAACAGAACTTTGAAATCATGGGAGTAATATCCTGCTACTCAGTGAGGTTACAAAGAATCATATATATTACTTTTCCTCTTTTCTTTTCTCTTCTTTTCTTTCTTTCAGTACCAGGAATCAAACTCACAACTTTGTGCTTGCCACCGAGCTGTATCCCCGGCCACTATTTCTTATTTTGTTTAATTCTTTATTAGTCATACTCCAATACTGTTCGCTTCCTTTTTAATTTTATGTTTTTAGTCCATACATTTATGATTCTGCTGTCCAGGGCTTCCCTAGAATAACCAAAAATATAGGGCAACTCTAGATTAATTGTTAGTTGTAACTAAGAAGCCTCACTTTATTTTGAGCCCAAGCAAGATGTAAGAAAGAAAATGCGCTCAATTTAGGGGCCCCCTAACTTCAGGGGTTTGAACGATGATCTCAAAAATCCATTTCTCAGGCTGAGGATTTAGCTCAGCAGCACAAGCGCCTGCCTGGCAAATGTGAGGTCATATAGTTCAACCCATGGTACCAAAAAAAAAAAAAAAAAAAAAAAATCCATTTCTCTAAAACTCTGTAAGCTGCTGCCCTCTGAAATTGCCTCCTTCTTGGGTAGGTCCAGCTCACACCCACCCCCAACTCATGCTGCAGTGGCCACGACATGGGGTCTCTCAAAGCAGCAGTTCTGCAGTAAGCCAAAGTCTAACCATGCTTGAGAAAACCGATGTGGGGTCTATTGGCTGGCACATGTGAGTCCTATGCCCATGCTGAACCAATCACAGAGGTGAAGAAGATGGAGTGCTATGATTGGCTTATTTGGGTCATATGCCCATATTGAACCAATCATAGTGGTGAGGAAGATAGAGTACTCTGATTGGCTCATGTAGGTCATGTGGTTAGGCTGTCTGCGACAACTCTTCTCCCATTCCATACAATAGGAGGCGGGGATTGCTGGGTGATTTGCATCCCTCTCAGCCTAAATTGTACCCCAAGATCTTTCTCCTCTGGGGAGCCACAGGACCCGTGCCAAGAATGCTCACCACCAATGCTCGGACAGTGCTGGTGTCAGGGTTTGTGAGGCACTTTACACATATTTGTCTTCACAGTCTTTAATCCTTTCTGTTCCCTTGGGAGATAGGTTGTATTAGAGTGAATGAGAACACGGTGGTTACCCAGGGCTATGCAGTTGGTAGCCCTGGAGCCCACGCCCTACTTTTTGCTACACTTGTGCTGCTTCCCGCTCGCCAGATTTATAACCTGAGTTGGAGTGACATGTTGCGGGGTGGGGCGATTGTGGATGGAGCTCGGAGAGCCTTCAGTGGGATGGAAGAGGGGCGAAGACTTCTCCAAAGTGGCCTGGCCTGGAACTTCTCCGCTTCTTTTTCAGGGTCGTTGCCAGCACAGCCCTGTCCTCAGGGGCCTTCCGACTGCAGGAAGAAGCAGTGTGATCCCGAGCACTACGTAGACGAGAGCGGCTACTGCCTGGCCTGTGTGAGCTGCTTCGGAGGTCAGGACCCTGTTCTCACTCCAGCACTGCCTGGAGCACTCCAGCACGTGCTCCAGGGGCACGAAGGGCCTCAAAGGAGAATCTGGGAGGCGGGGAGGGTGTACGAGGTGGGGAACTTTGGGATTTGGTGCTTGAACTCTGAATTGGCCCCCTGGCATTTTGATTTACTGGATTTGTGAATCGATGTCAGCAGTGATCTGTATCTATATCTTTTTTTTTTTTTTATCGGTACCAGGGATCGAACTCAGGACCATGTGCTTGCAAAGCAGGTGCTTATGCCGCTGAGCTAAATCCCCAGCCCTATATCTGTATCTGTATCTGTTTCTGTATCTATTTTTTTAATGTGTGTGTATGTGTGTCTTTTTGAGACAAGGTTTCAGTATGAAGTTCAGGCTGGCCTTGAACTCACTTTGTAGCCCAGACTGGTCTTGAACTTTTAGCCATCCTTTTGCCTCAGCCTCCATAGTCCTGAGATTGTACCATACCTAGCAACAGTGATCTACATCCATACTTTTCAGAGAGACTTGGCACACTCCCCTCCCCTGAAAGGGAAGACTCACATTTACAGAGTTTAATGCTCACCAAAGCCTTAGGGAGGATGCTTTTCCCTTTCCTGCTTTTCGGTAAAGGATTTGAGGATCAGTGAAGTAAAAGGCCTTTCCAGCGTTGCAAAACTTGAGTAGATGTTACAGTTTGAGTCTGAGCTGATGGCCAGGCACCAAGATGGTATCCCTTCCTAAGACCTTGGTGCTTTCAAGAAAACTCAGTAAACACTATCGTGGTGATTTCTTCCTATGGTCTGGTGTTCAGTGTGTGTGTGTGTGTGTGTGTGTGTGTGTGTGTGTGTGTGTGACACCTGTAGACAGGTGGGAAAATCTGTTGGGATCTTTTTTTGGGGTGGGGGTACCGGGGATTGAACTCAAAACCATGCGCTTGCAAGGCAGGCACTTATGCTGCCGAGCTAAATCCCTGGCCCAATCTGTTGAGATCTTATGACTAATAATCCCATTTCAAAAACTGTATTCAGTATTTATTTATTTACTTATTTATATTTTTAGAGTCAGGGTCTCACTATGTAGTTCAGGCTGGCCTTGAACTCACAGTGATTCTCCTGCATCAGATTCCCAAGTGCTGGGATTACAGGCATACACCACCATGGCCAGCTTCAATATATTTTTTAAATATGCATTGTTTGTTGCATATAAAGTGCTCTGTATATCTACTAGATCAATCTTGTGAATTGTGTTATTTAAATAATATATATTCTTACTTATCTTTGTAATCTTTAGTTGTTGATTCTCGTGCTTGCAAAGCAGGTGCTTATGCCACTGAGCTAAATCCTTGGCCCATCTTCATCATGTTTTTCCCTTCATATATGTCAAAGCTACGTTACCAGATACATAAATGTTCATGAATATCACGTCTCATTGGTGGACGGAGCTTTTTATCTTCGTGAAGCATACCTCTGTGTTCCCGATAGTGTCTTTCCCCTTAATCTCAATATTGCTTATATTAACAGTGCCATTCTCCTTCGTATATACACTAGCATTTCTGCTATACCTTTCAATATTTGAAAGTAATGACTATATTTTATTAGATGAAAATTAGATATGTTAATCATGAGACGTTTATGTGATGGAGGGTAAGGAAGAAAGCCAACGCTACCCTACCTGCCCAGCATCAGTGAGGGACTGATGGACACTTCTGTACCTCTTACAGGGAGAGGACAGGTAGGACAGTGGCCAAACAGATTGGAGATTCGGAAAAAGAATATCTTTTAAGAGGAGAGCAGCATATTGTTTATCTGGAAGAGCAAACTAAGGTGAATCTAAAGGAATGTGGGATCTTAGATTAGGCTTTTTTTTTTTATCTTTTGAAACAGTGCCTCCCTATGCAGTTGAGGCTGGTTTTGAGCTCACTTTGTAGCTAAAGCTGGTCTCAAACTTGCAGTGATCCTCCTGCCTCCTGAGTGCTGGGATTGCAGGTGTGCTCCATCATGCCCAGCTTACTGCCCTGTTGCCGTGGGCACAGTGACCACCTCTGGCCACCTGTCTCACCTGTCCTCAAAGTCATCTGAGGAAACTGAGGGCCCAGATCAGGTGGAGATGGTGTCTTTCCCGCCAGAGGACAGGGGTCTACTTTCCCTTCTGTCAAGTGTTAGTCAGAACTCTTGCTGCCTGGACAGGAGCATCCTCCACCTCTGTGGCCTCTGTCCCTTCTCGAACTTCAGGAAGCTGGCATGGGCAGGTGGCCGCAGGTGCCTCAGCCCACCAAGTGCAGCTATGCCTGGCTGCTCACTCTGGGGCCTCCCTGGAGTTTGGGCCAGCCTGGGGTGGGTCTTAGCATTCCTGCCTGCATCTTATTGGCTGCGATGATCACATGACCCCAGGTCAACCCCCAGGGAACACTGGGAAATGTAGTCTGAAATACAGTCTTTGAGTACTGTGAATTGGTGAAAGCAATTGTGTGTGTGTGTGTGTGTGTGTGTGTGTGTGTGTGTGTGTTATTCAGGATCTAATCCAAGGACACTTTACCACTGAGCTAATCCTAGTCTTTGTTATTTTTGAGAGAGTCTTACTAAGTTGTCCAGTTGAGATTCAAACTACCATCCTTCTGCCTCAGCCTTCCTTAGTGCTGGGATTACAGGTGTGTGCCATCTGGCTTTTTTCTACCCCCAAAACCCAAGCCTTGCATGCTGAGCAGGTGCTTTACTGTTGACTTCACTCCCACCTTTAGTGCTGTGTCCCTAGAGCTGCAGTCCCCTGTGCCTCGCCCAGAATCTCAGTGACTCCATGTCTCCAGACCTGTTCCCCGTTCTCCTCTCTCTGCTTTTGCTTATCTGCTTTCACTGAGTTCAGGACTCCTGTGCTTTGGCACTGCTTTTCCTCTGATGCTCTTGATTTCTGGCTGTGTGTTTGTTCTGGTTTGTGTCTGGTTGTCCCCCAAAGCTTCATGCGGTCATAGATGAGGATTTTGCCGAGGATGCTGGATCTACTGTGTGTGATGCTGAGATTAATTCATGATGCATGCTAGGTTCAGGGGTTGCTAAGATTAAGGGTGTGAGTGCTCCCCACCCTAAGTAGCCTGCATAAGATAAAAGTAGTGTTGGGGGTGGGGATAAGAGCCGCAGAAAGAGCTGTGGTCATTCCTTGTTGGTTTTGCTGTTTTCTGCTTCCCATAAACTGCTTCTCCTCTGTGATGCCCCTCGGCCAACCCACCCTGCCTTGGAGCCGGTTGATTGTGGCCTGAAACCTCTGTAAGCTGTGAACTAAATAAATCTTTTCTCGCTTGTATTTGGTCTCAGTGAGGAGAAAGATATAAGAGTGTGCATCCCAGCTGATGATGCAGGCACCTTAAACCTCTGAAGGGGAATGGGGTGAGCAGGGAGCTCCTGGTGGTCCCCTGTCCATCCCCCAGCCCCTGCCCAAGTGCCCCAGAGACTGGAGCCCAGGAGCCTCCCCATCTATCTCTATCTATCTCCAGTCAGGTCCCATCTGCTTTCCCTCTGTGTGGAGACTCTGTCGCCTGTTTCTCTGATGAGTTGATCCAACCTGCGATGTGTTCTTAATTGAGATCAAATACCAACATCTTAAAAGCATTTCAACATTTCTTATGTTATTATTTTGTGTTGATGGCACTGGAGATGGGACAGAGCCTTGAACTTGGCAGCTAAACACTGCACTACTAAGCTACGCCCCAGCCCCATTTTATTTTGTGTATGTTTTGTTTTTTTTTTTGAGACAGAGTCTCATATGTGGTTCAGGCTGGCCTGGAACTCACTGTGTAGCCCAGGAGCTCACAGCCATCCTGCTTTGTCAGCCACCCAAGTGCCAGGATTCCAGGCTTGCCCCACCATGCCCGGCTCCATTTGAACCGTTTTAAAGGGTAGAATGCAGTGGTTTGTAGCATAGTGTGTGACACTGCCACTGCCTGATTCCAGAACATTCCCATTTTCCCCTAAGGAAACTCTTTACCTCCCTCTTCCCTCTCCTCTGGCCCCAAGATGCCCCAGTTTCTTTTCATCTCTATGGACTCACCGTCCTTTGGACATTTCATATAAATGGGATCATGGATCAGTGGCCTTTGGTGCTTGGCTTCTGTTGCCAAGCCAGAGCCAGCTACAGGCCTTGTCATGGCCGAGCACTGTGCCACTCTATGTCTGGATCCAGCTTGACCTGACTGCAGCCATCCCTAGTTATCATCACCACAGTTGCTCTGGTGTAACCCTGACCAGGTCCCCACTTAGTGCCCCAGCACTGCACAGATTTGCAAAACCACGGAGTGGTGTGTGGGGCTCTACCTGACCCTGCTGTGCTGACTCCAGGAATGCACCTGACCCCAATTTCCCTCCATTCTGTGAGGCCAGTTTCCCATCACCACCATCAAACTAACAGGAGGAAAAGTTATTTTGCATTGTGGCTTCAGAGGTTTTGCCCATGGTCCCAAAGCCCCTTGGTCCTATGGCTCCGGGTGTGTTTCTGTGCAGTACATCGTGGTGGCAGCTTGCATCACGGAAGCTAGGAAGCAAACAGGAAGGGGTGGGGCTCCTGTGACCTCACTTCCTTTCTGTGTACCTCACTTCTCAGCTCATATTGGATCCCATAAGAAGGAGGATGCAGTCTGTCTCTCTGCTTTCTGCCTGTCTGCTTTCCTGATTCTGTGAGACCTCCAAGCACTCTAGTTAGTCTGACTGTCAGTCCTGCTCAGCTTAAGCAAAAGGGGAGTCTGATCACCTCTTGTTAGTCAAAACAGCCCTCAAGGGAAGGAGGCTGGCATGTTTAACCTCTAATACCTGCTAGACGGATGTGTGAGTGAGTGGCATGTACAGCATGAGCAACAGGCTACTCTGTCTGTGCACCAAGCCTGGAAAATCACTGGCTGTGTTGGCTCCTTGGTGAACAGCATGCGGCATAGTGGAGGCCTCACAGCCTCCTTTGCTAAGTCACACCTAAGTCCCCACCAGGGGTGTGGCCACTTGGGCATCTGAGTGATCTCCGTTTGAGAGGCACCCACTTTTTGTCTGTTGTGCCATCATTCCAGTGTGCACAACACACACCGAAGAAGTCAGAGATGGGACTTAACTCATTAAAACCCACAGTTTTCATGGAGTAAAAAATGAAAATAAACCACATCCTGTATCTCAAAGGGGGGAAAAAAAGCATCCTATTCTTCCTGAGAATTCCATCTTGGCACTCTTGTCAGCCAACACCTCTAGCTTCTGACTCATCTGCTTCCAGGCAATTTAACTGGTTCCAGCTGGCCATGATTTGCACTCAGCATAGAGGGCCTCCCCTGGAACCTTCTGCTTCACAGCTACACCCCCCATCCTGGTCAGATGGCATCATCTAACGCCCACCCGAGATGACTGTCAGCAGTTCCTTCTCAGTCCCATATTTTGACTGAGGAAAGGTTGGACTGTCAGCTCTGATGAATGAGTTGCTGTGGCCTTTCCCAATGGTGGTCCTGCCTAGAAACAACCCAGCTGAGTGGTTCTCAAAGACACTGAAGGGGGTGGGGCAAACAGTATGTCAAAAGTTATCAGATGACAACCGTTTCATAGGTCTGATAGGCTCAGACTAGGCCAGACCTTCTTCAGCTGGGCCACCTGGAGCCCATAGTACTATCATCGGGGCAGCTAGGATTCTTGCCTCTCACCCCTCCTGCCAGGCCTAGACTTGCGGCCTGGGAGGCCATCTCCTGTGTTAGCCAGTTCTCATGCCACTTCTGGGATGAGGCCTCCTCTTCATGTTAGAAGCGACTGTCTCTTTTGCACCAAGCCAGTCATTCCCCCTGTCAGTTAACCCTACACTTCCAATTTTGACTGTTCCCTGAGAGGAAGAGGAGGCCTGCATCAGCCTGAGACAGATAACTGCAATCCTGGAGTTCTGAAGATTCTCCTTCCAGAGGTATGAGCCAAGACTCACCTCCAGGCCTCATCACCCACCATGCTCCAGCCACACCTCAGCTGCCTAAAGCAGTTCAGGACCCTGATGGACTTTTCTCACCTTGGAACACACCTCTCCTTCTGGCAAAAACACCCAGTGGGGACTGCTGACCAGTACAAGAGCTCGGTGCCCCCAACAGTGCAGGCGTCACTTTGCACTCTGTGGTGCCTGAACTATACACCCTTTTTTGGACTGCTGCCTCCAGGTGCCACCTGGTTTGTGTGTTTAGATTTACACTGTGCCTTCCTCTGCTTTTGAGTTGCTCCCATAAGTCCCTTCAACTGGGAGGATCCTGAGACAAAAGACCAGCTTGCTTGGATTCAGTTGCTGCAAGGGGTTAAGAACTCTCCCACTCATTTCAGGGACGCTCTAACAATGGATTTGGCCAAGCCACCAGCACCTTTTCTCTGAGACAGCATGTTTCTCTGTCCCTTCCAGCTCTGTCATGGACCCCTAAGCAAATAATGTAAACTGTCAAACTGGTAAATTGCACCTCTCCTGCCTGTGAAGCCAGTTCAGAATCTCTGAGCCGCCAGTGCCACCATGCTTACGTTTGCTCAGTCTTCTGCCTCTGCAGCCTGCTGGAGCACCTGCCTGGACCTAAAGGATGCCCCCTTCTGCCCTCGAGTGGCTCCTGCAGGCAGACCCTCTTCACAACTGATCTGGGCTCAACCTCCCAGAGGTTCAAAAACTCGTTTCCTCTTTGAAAAAGCTCCTCTGATTCATGACACTCAAGCTGCCTGCTGGAAAGGTGTTGGGAGCCATTGAAGCTGGAAATTGACCACAAGTGCAGTGCCAGGGCAGGGCTGTCCCAAGAACAAAGAGCACCCGGAGCAAGCCACATGAAGAAGTTGCTTTGTCCTGGAGAAACACCAAGCTTGTAGATAATCCAAGCAATGGGTTGCTAGGCAAAGGGGTGCCATGGGACTTTGTGTTGCTAAGTGTATAAATAAATACCCCTGCAGTGAGGGGGCAGTTCTTTTCCTCCCATCTGGACAGTAAGGGCTCCACCTGACCCCAGCTTAGATAATTTCTCATCCTCTTGCAGTCCTTCACCCCAAGAACTTTAAGAGCTGCATGGATCATGGCAGAGAGACACAAAAGCTCTGCTGCAATATCTGGTTATAAGAAAAAACTAGTTATAAGAAAAAAACCTACAGAGTTTTTAGAGCTGCTGGCTCCGATAGAATCTGGATCCCTGAGTTCACAAAACCAATGCTGCTTGCTCAGACCGTCAGCGCCTGGGAGCACTGACCTGTGCAAATGCTCGGATCCGGTCTCTAGCGCTGCTTCTCAGCTTTGTCTTCCCGCTCTGGTAGCGACTGTCCTGATGGAGAAAGCTGATGAGCCCACGGCAGGCCGAGACCTAACTGCCCAGGTGCCACGTGCTGCACTGGCTGACCAGACTTAAAAGATAAACCTCGTGCCAGATGCTGAGTCCACCCTGTTTACGGATGGAAGTAACTCTGTTAGGAATGGAGTTTGATAGGCTAGATATGCTCCTCAGACAAAGCTATTTTGGCCGAAGCTTTCCTGCTTCTGCTTCTGTTTGGAAAGCTGTGACTGGTGCAAAATATTCAATCCAGAAGCCTAAGCCCTCTTTGGGGATCCAACTGACTGAAACACCAACCCCAGCCAGGAATACTTTACCTGGTACTCTGTAGGATCAGGGCCAGACCTGCCCCCACCATTTCTTCTGCAAGTTCAACCCACAGCATTGGCACCTGTGCCCCTGCAGCCAGCTCGGGCTTCACGTCTGTGTCACTGGCCCTGACCTCAAGCAATCCTCCCTCATGGAAGGATGCACAGATAGACTTAATAAAATCTTACAGGGGTTATAAGTATCTCATAATACTCACCTGCATCTACTCAGGCTGGCTTGAGACATTTCAGTGAAAGCGTATAGGGTCCTGCCGTGAAATATCCTTCCTAAATATGCCCTGCCCGTGACCATTGGTAGTGACCAGTGTGTGGGGGAGGGGAGGCATCTTCTGCTACAGTTTCTGAGCTTTTGCCCAATTTCACACCCTTTGCCTGCCGGTTACGACTCATCTTTGACTCCCCTTTCTGACCAGGGATGTGGTCTGGGCAGCTGAAGCCACCGCCCTCCTGCTTCGGGTCTGGAGCGGCCTGAACAGGGAGCTAACGTGCCACCCACCAAGCCCAGCGCCAAGCTCTCAGCTCCGGACTGGGCCTGTCAGAGGTCCCGGGAGCCCTCACCTGTGCCCTGCCCCTCTGTGACCTTCCTGTGTCCCTCAGACCTCGTGGAGAAGGTGCCGTGCTCCTGGAACTCCTCCCGCGTGTGCGAGTGCCGGCCCGGCATGTTCTGCAAGACCTCGGCCGCCTACTCCTGTGCCCGATGCCAGCCGCACTCCCCCTGCTCCGAGGGCAAGGTCATCACGGCCCTGGGTGAGTGTGTCCACAGCCTCAGGGCGCTGCCCCAGGAGCCTCCTGCAGGGTGGGGGCTGCCTTCCCTGCCTGGGAGTCAGGCATCAGGGTTAGAGGGTCCAGAGCGGGCGCCAGGCTGGAGGCTGAGACCTGGCGCTGTGGTCTGACTCGCTGGTCACCTCGGGCGACTTCCTCACCTCTCTCTGCACAGACAGTCGGGGCCCCAGAAGAGGCTGTGGATGGTGCTGGGGGACCCTTGCACAGGGCGGCCTAGGGAGATGGGGTGGGGACACCAGGCCAGAACGGTGCCACTGCCCCACAGGGTGCAGGGAGAGGAGTGAGGTGGGGTCAGAGGAGCCCCCCAGTCCCCTGGGGGAGAGGCCCAGAGGGAGTCCCCACCCCTCCCCCACACCCCTCCCTCTGGCTGCACATCGGGACCTTGGTCTCTGGGCCCCTCCCGTCCTCACCCACAGCCAGCCTGGGCCCCAGGGCCTCAGACTTCAGCCCCATCGCTGTCCCCGCATCCTACCCCAGCCACATGCGCCACTCATCCTTTCTGCGGTGTGTGAACGCACGCACATGCACCCTGAAGAGGGCACAGTCCATCCTGGAGGACCCTCCTCTCGTCCCTTCCGCTCCCTGTCCTCCCCGTCCTCCTCCCCTTCCCCCTCCACCGAGCCCTCTCTCAGGCCCCCGGCTGCGCTACCTGTGCGCTCAGCCTGGCCTCCTGTGTGTTTCCAATCGCCCAGGATTTTAGCTGCTCTTGGCGGGTGCAGGAAAAGGATTAGGGGGGGCCTCAGACTGTGTCACCCCGCGACCGCCCCTCCCCGCCGGCCCCGGGGGTTTCAGCGCTGTGATGCACACCCCCTCCTCACCCGGTCCCTCCCACAGCAGGGTCCACTTGGTCCAGCCTGGGCCAGCTGCCACCTTCCTGTTAGTGCGGCTGCCTGGACGTTGTGCCAGTCTGTGCCACACGGTGGCACCAGAGGCCTCGCTGCCAGGTGCAGCACCCTGGACTCCAAAGACCTAGTCTACCGGGAGGGATGTAAGCCATCTCATTAGCTATTTTCATGATTACCTGATAACAGCATTTTAGATACACATTCCACTTGTCTTTATCGGCCTTTTATTTAGGCCTTTTTTGAGTCACAGTCCTGCTGTATATTCCAGGATGGCCTTGAGCTCTCAGCAGTCCTGCCTCAGCCTCCCCAGTGCTGGGCTACAGGCGTGCACCACCACACCCAGCCTTTACACCCTTTGAAATGTTGCTCTGTGGCTTTAAGCTGGCATCCGTGGTTCTCATCGCATTTCTTTTGGAAAGTGCCACTTGCCAGGTTCTCGAGCTTGGCTGGGGCACCCCAGGTGGCCCGGCCCTGCCCACCTGGCTCTCCTGGGATTGCAGCTCCAGCTGGAGATAAAGGGAGAAGTCACTTCTGCTCCTTGGAGCTAAGCCACCTGCTTAGAGCTAAGTCTCTTCTGCTTCTTGGAGCTAAGTTACCTGCTTGGAGCTGCCACTGACCGGCTCCCAGAACGTCACATGTCCAGAGGGCTGGCTGTGTTACTCCATTTCTGCAAATCAGGGAACTGGGGCCCAGAGATGGTAGACAAGTGGCCTGAGCATGCAGAGCAAGGCCTAGCCAGTCCGGGGTTCAACACCACGCCCAGCGCTGGTCACTCAGGATGCAAAGGTGTGGAAGGCAGCACGGTCCCATGCCCACCCTGCTGGAAGTGACACTTTCTAAGTGAGGGGACAGGAGGTCAGACAGGACAGAGCCCTCTATCGAGCAGGTCACACAGTGCAAAGGCCATGTTCTCCGCACGCAGCCGCTGACCCAGGAGCTGGTGTGGTGATTTCTCCCAGGGATGGCAGCCTGGCCAGCTGCGGCTGGACACGGTGTCGGAGGTGGAAAGCAGGCGTGGGCTTGGCGGGGGTCTTGCGTGCCGTCCCTCTGCTCCTGCCTGGTCTCCTTGGGCCTCTTTGGGTTGTGAGTCACAAAACCTCCGGTTTCAGGACACACGTGTGGGAAGGTGTGGGGACTGCTCCTAGTGGCTTCGGGTCGGGGTGGACCCAGGGGCTTATCTTCTCCCCCTGCAGTGCTGTTCATCCAGGGGATGCCCTGTGACTCTGGGACAGTCCTGGCGCTGGTGCCGCCCATCCCGAGGGACCTGGGTGGAGGGTTAGTCTGCCTGGCTCCCTGGTGACTCCTGCAGACCCTTGGCCTATACTGATGAAGTCTGTTCTGAGAGACACCGGGCTCCTTGGGGTCCTTCTGAAGAGAGGACTGTCCCCCTGCAGGCACAGCTGAGAGGGACACAGTGTGTGACTGGCCTTCCCCAGGGACCAGCCTTGACTGCGCCAGCCCAGAGGCCTGCAGGACCCCCACCAGGTGAGGTTGGGGGGAGGCTGTCCAAGTTCCCAAGGTTCCCCGGGTGCAGCCAGGCATGGGGACCCCAGGGGGCCTCTTTGTCACACCCACAAGTCCACTGCCCTTGCACAGTGCCCAATCCTGCCCCCTGCACAGGGACACCCAGAAACCTGAGAACCCAGTAGGTCTTCCTCCTGGAAGGAGCCTGAGGTGGGGGGTCTGAAGGTCCCTTCTCTCCCTGTCTTATTTTTGCTTTGTTTTGGTGGAAATGATTTATAAATCCAGAGCCATCACATTCAGCTCCATCCCCAGCTCTTAAGAAAAAAGTGTTTGTTTAATTTTGAGACAAGATCTCACAAAGTGGCTAAATTGCCAAGACTGTGCTTGAGCTTGCCGTCCTCCTGCCTCAGCCTCCAGAGTGCTGGGATGACGGACATGAGCCACCATGGCTGGCTCCCTTCTCCGTGGACGCTGTTATCCCTGACCTCCCTGCTGTATAAGGAGAATCACCACACTCATATCTGGCTTCTTCCTTAGGGGTGCCACCCGCCAGGCCAAGCCAACTGAAGTGTCCCCAGCCACTGCCGATGCCAGGACCCCGCCCCGGGGAGGGGACACTCCGCCCAGGCTGGAAGATGCTCCCCAGCTGCGACCCACAGCAGTTCCCGGGTCTCCCTTCTCTGTGGCAGAGTTGGGCCTGCATCCAGGTGACTTCCCGTGGGGCCTGGTGGTGCCCACGTTGACAGCAGTGTTGGGTGGGGGCCGTCAGCACCCTGGGTATTGGGCTCGTGGCTTGGTTTTTTTTTTATTTAGACAGTGAGTGCTTCTGGGTTTGTGCCTCAGTCCTGCAGCTGCACTGCAGGCTCAGGAACAGCATGCTTTTCCAGCAGTGCTGCCGACTGCAGACAGCGCGTTGGCCTCGCGGGCCACAGAGCCTCCTCTGCCCCACACCGTGTTCTGCACCGAAAGCCTCCTTCTTATAAATATTGATTGATTGATTGATTTAGGTTTTTTGAGACAGAGCGTCACTGTGTAGCTCAGGCTGCTGCTGAACTCACTATGCAACCCAGGTTGGCCTCAATCCTCCTGCCTCAGCCTCCTGATTGCTGAGATCACAGGCGTGTGTTGCCAAACCTATCATCGTGTGTCCTCTTTTAGAAAGCTATCTGAAGATATGGCATAGCTAAACAAGGCGGCAAGAAACAAAGAGGAGGAAGCCATGGGTCTAAAAAACTAGCCTCTGCGGGGCTGGGGATTTAGCTCAGCGGCATAAGCGCCTGCCTTGCAAGCCGGCAGTCATGAGTTCGATCCCCGGTACCAATGGAAAAAAAAAAAAAACAAACAACTAGTCTCTGCCCCAGGAGATCAAGGCAGAAAAATCCTGGAGCATGGCTGTGCCCCTGGAGAGTTGAGCCAGTCAAGGCGGGGAGATGGAGGGCTCTCAGAGGTGTGTCTGAACACAGCAGAAATCAGCAGAGTCTCATGGTTAGTACGTTTGAACAACCTGCAGATATGGCAAAGACATATTATTCTTTTCTCAAAAAAAAAGGCAATTAAAAACTCCAGGGAAAACAGAAAGGTAAAAGAAAAAAAACTTTTTTTGTTTTGAGCATAAACCCAGGAAGCACCAAGCTACATTTCCAGCCCTTTTATTAAACATTTGAGAAAAGACCTCACTACAGTGTCCTGGCCGGCCTTGAACTTGTGACCCTTTTACCTCGGCCTCCTGAGTAACTGGGGTTTCAGCTGTGCACCCCCATGCCGGCCAGTAACAAGAAATGTGCCATTCAGATCAAAGGTGAAAATTCGCCTGATTTTAAGCAATGCTGGATAGATGCACAGAAAGGGAATCTGTTTCACCTTAATGCTAAGACCATTTTTTTAAAGGGCCTGGGGATTGACTGTTGGATCCAAGAAGAAATATTTCCTTCTGGTAATTGATAGCTCTTTCTTTTTTCTTTTTTCATGACTAGACACTAAGAGTAGCAAGTTTGTTTTTTTTCGTTTTCTTCCCCTACGGAGCCTCCTCGCTCGGGGTTAGCCAGGGCTGCCCATTTACCTCAGGGAAGCCACAGATGAGGGGGGACAGCTCCAGAAAGGGGATGAGAGGCACCCAGGAAGCGGGTATCCACCTTCTGCACTGAGAGGAGGGGTGGGGGCTCCGATACCAGGGATCCTAGGACCTGGGCTCCTTCAGTTACCCCAGATGAACTGGGGAAGGCAAGCGGCTTTCAGTGTATTAACTGGGGTGAGATCGCACCAAGCCCCCCCCCAAAGTAGACAAATCAAATACTAATTTGAAGCTGGGTGCACATTTGGTGGGAGGCTGAGGCAGGAGGATCCCCTCAAATTTAAGGCCAGCCCACACTATATACAGCAAGGTGTATCTTGCTATATATATATATATATATATATATACTGCCTCAGAGCAAAAGAAACTTGAGGCTACATTTACACACTACTTATTTTCTTTCATTTTTATTTTTATTTTTTATTTTTTGTCTTTTTGAGACAGGGTCTCCCTGTGTAGTTCAGGCTGCCCCTGAGCTCACTCTAGCCTGGGCTGGTCTTGACTTTCCATGATCCTCCTGCTTCCGCCTCCTGAGTGCTGGGATTGCAGGTGTGCGCCACCACACTTGGCTAAACACTGGATTTTGGGTTTCTCTTAAATAAAGTCAGAAAACCAGCTGGGCATGGGGTTGCAGGCCTGTTACCCCTGCATTTGGGAGACTGAGGCAAGAAGATTGCAAGTTCAGGCCCAGCCTGAGCAACTCAGGCAGACTGGCTCAAAATAAAGAATAAAATGGGCTGAGGATGTAGCCGGTGCACGGGAGATCGGGAGATTGTGCTGTTGCAGCAGGAGCAGGACTCAGGTTGCAGACTCCCTGCCCCCCCAGCTGCGTCCCTGCAAGTCACCTGTCCCTGCCTGTGGTCTCCTGGGGAGCCCAGGCTCCTCAGCACTGATTCTAGGGTATCGCCACTCCCTGCAGGTGTTGTCGGTGGGGACACCACCTTGGAGCCACCTGCCCTGGAAACCCACCCTGGTTACAGCCCACCAGCCAACAGCAAGGCTCCTGCCAGGTGACTCCGCCCCTCCCTCCCACTGTGGGGGAGAGTGGGGACTGGGGGGGCAGGAGGGCGGGGTGTGTGTGTGTGTGTGTTTGTGTGTGTGTGTGTGTGTGTGTGTAGCAGGCTGGGGCCACAAGGGCAGCCTGCTGGCTGTGTCATGCTGGGCAATGTGCTTCTGACTTGGTGTGGTGTCCTGTGGTGAGGCCTAGGGTCCGGCCCCTGCCCGGGCACTGCCCAGCAGCTCTAGGGCAGAGGTTCTGGGGCCCCGGCTTGGCCGGGACCCTCTCTGGGGCCACGGTCCCCTTCTCTGTCACCCTCATCACCCCCGCCTTGTGCTTCTCTCCCTGCAGCACACGCCCCACCCAGAGCCCCCTGATGGGCTCCCCCACCAGCCTCGGGCCCCCTGTCTCCACCAGCACCCGGGGCTCCCTGCCCTCCACAGGGAGGCCCATTCTGGATCCAGGTAAGCCTTGCTCAGGATGGGTGGGGGGTGCTGCCTGTGGGTGCGGCTGGGGTGGGGGTGGGGAAGCAAGGTCGATCCCAGGTCCCCGGCTTCTCCATGAACACGATGTCTTTGTGGCTTGCTAGTGACTATCTTCAGTTTTTGTGAGCAGAATTTTTTTTTTTTAACATGCTTTCATTCCCGTGGGCCGTAACTGCTGCTAAGGAAAAATGTGTTTGTTGTTTTTGCGGCACTGGGGATTGAACCCAGGACCTTTGCATTGATGCTGCTTGATTTCTTTGAGCCTTAGTGTTTTCAAATGTGAGGTGGCAACGGCGTGGACCACGAAGGTTAGAAGCCGGTGGCGTGTAACCGGCGTTTTATCTGCTTGGACAATTGTGTTAGACGCTAATGAAATGGTACTGACCGGCAGTTCTAATGCTCAACACTAGGTGGCGGTAGTTCCCAGGCCACGCTGTCGGTCCCCCGCTGGCCTAAACTTTGTTGTTTTGACCCTGACTTCTCTCTGCACTCCAGTTTCTCAGCCTCTGAAATTAAAATAGTTTGTGCTTCTTGCAGCTCTAAGTAGTTGGCCAGTTTCTTGCAGCCAGGTGGGGAGGACAGGCAGGGGAGGGCCAGCAGGTGAGGCCCAGGTCAGGCGACCAGGTACTGTCCTGCAGGAGCAGGGGGAGGAGGAAGCAGGCTGCCGCTGAGGCTGTCCTGTGTGGTTGCGGCCAGGGCTCCTGGCCTGGGCCGTGGGGCAGAGCACTCAGGATGCCCCTGTGTTCCAGGACCCGTGCTCTTCTGGGTGATCATGGTGCTGGCGGTGGTGCTAGGCTCCGGCTCCTTCGTCCTGTGCTACCGGAGGGCCTGCAGGGCGCGAATTCGCCAGAGTGAGTGGCTGTGTCCTCGGGCCCTGGGGGTGAAGGTGGCTGCTCTGTGCCCCGGGTCGGTACCCCCTTGCCCGCTCTCTGGGTAGCACCCAGCCCTCCTGGTGTCATTGCAGAGCTGCACCTGTGCTACCCGACCCAGACCATCCGGCCCGGGCTGGAGCCTGCCGGTAAGTGCTGGGTGTCCCCAGGGCTGCGGGCGGGACACATGCCTGGCTGCTCTGGAGCCCAGCGCCTGGGGGTCCACGCTGGCGCCCCCTCTGGCCTCCCAAAGGCCCTCTGTAAGAGCGTAGGGCAGGGGCCCTGTGTGGCAGGGAGCTGCACGGAAGGTCCCACCTCTACCTGTCCTGGCCTTTGCTCTGGCACCATGGTCCCCAGGGGCATCCTGAGAGCCTCCCCTCCACGCCTCACCCCTGCCACCACACCTATTTGTCTCTCCCTTTCTCCCGCCCTCCTTTCCTCCCTTCCCTTCCGTTTCCCCTGTCGGGCAGAGCAGCTGAGGGGTTTAGGAGAGCAGGGTGAGCCGACAGGCCGGGATCCCGGCTGTGCCCCTCAGGAGCCACTGCCTCTGGGTCATGGTTCCTCCCTGGAAGGAGGTCACCCGGGGATGAAACCCCACGTGGCCTGCAGCGCTCGGGTGTAGAGCACCAGCCCGGAGTCGCCCTCGGGATGTGAGCTGTTGTTCATTGTTGGACCACAGGAGCCCTCCGGGCCTTGTCGCTGACCCCTGCCCAGCTTCCAGGCTGCCTCATGCCCAGTGCTGCCACCCACCCAGGTACCCAGGCAGGGGGGAGTCTCTGGCTTTCACCCAGCTGAGGAGAAAGCTTCCCCATCCAGGCAGGGCAGGGTCTGCCTCAGCGTTGCTTGGGCACCTACTGTGTGCTCTGCCCGGGAGGTGGACAGCCTGAGCCATGCCTTCCGGTGTACAGGAAGCCGCCTTGGGGTCTGCCAACCCCGCCGGGGCAGGCTCTTCACTAGAAGGGAGGAGACAAGGCTCAGCGGGTGGACAGCAGCCAGGCCCCACGGCTGGCCGGAAGCTTCGCCGCCAGCCCAGGCACTGTCCTCAGGGAGGCTGGCCCAGCTGCACCCCCTTGGCCCTCGCCGCCCCAGCTCCTTGTCCCCATCAGAGCCCTCCCTCCCCTCGAGCCCGGGAGAGCCTGGCAGGGGCCGACTGTTGACTTAGGCTCGAAACCCCAGTCTGCTGAGGGGTGTTTTGAGGTTGACGAATTTCACAAGCCAGCCCTGTGTTCCCTGGGTGAGGAGGGGCCGTGTTTTGATGGTTTCAAGCCTGTTTCCATGAGCTGGCAGGCCCCGTGCCTCACTGAAACCGACATTTGCTTTCTTGACATTTTTCTAGTATTATACTTTCCATTGCCGTCAGTTTATTTTATTTTTTTTTTTTCTTTTCACCTTCGTGAGAACAGTTTTGTTACCAAAAGACAAAAAGGCATAAAAACACCTTCCTTTAAGCACTCAGAGCGTCAAAGTGCAGAACCCATCCTTTCCGGGATGGACACTCTGTCCAGGTCATTTCCAGCTCTCAGCTTCCAGGGATGCCCCGGGGCTCGGGCCACAGGGCTGAGCCCAGAGGAGAGTCAGGCAGGGGAGCAAACGTGCTGGGCCGAGTGTCCCGAGCTTTCAGACTGGCAGCTTGGAAGGATGGGCACAGCCAGGACTCCTGTGAGGACTGGTCCCCCTGCACGGGGCGTGTGAGTCAGGGGTCTGGGATCTGCGTGGGTAGGTGCGGTCACATGCTCAGCGTCATCTGCAGCTGTGACTTTGCCTCCCGTGTCCTTGGCGGCCACCCTTTGCGAAGCACACACTTGATCTTACTGTATTCTTGCAGAGGCCAAGAGCCACTTACACTTCCAGCCGCGCTCACAGCCCAGCAGCCTCAGTCAGGGAGGATGCAGAGGCTGTCGGAGGCCCCTTTTTGCTCTTAGCAAACAAGAATTTGCTATAATTATCACTGAAATGTTTGCAAAAAGGTTTCTCACTCTCAGTGGTGTTGACGCATGGGAAAGGATCGTCCTTGGCCGCGAGGGCCTTGCGGGGCACTGTGGCATGGCCAGCAGCTGGACATGAGCAGCTGGACCCCAGCAGGACCTCTGCCCAGCTGTGATGATGGAGGGCATCTCAGGCACTGACCCAGGCGCCGGTGGGGAGAGAGCTAGTCCTGGCTGAGGAGCACTGGTCTGAAACTCTTGCAGGTTAACGTGCGCTTGAGTCATTGCCTCAACTGATACTTGAGGGAGATGGCCCTTGAGAAATTCTCAAGTGATTTCAGACTCACAGAAAGTCACAGGCACAGCAAAAGAGCTGGCTTTCTCCTGCACCATTCTGAGAGGAGCCTTCAGATCGGGTACCTTATTACACCCGAATACCTGGGTGTGTGTCTCACACCATCAAGGGCGTGTTTTTTTTTTTTTTTTTTTTTTTTAATCGGTACCAGGGATCGAACTCACGACCACCTGCTTGCAAGGCAGGTGCTTATGCTGCTGAGCTAAATCCCCAGCCCTTAGTGTTTTTACTGTGCCATTTTCCAAGCATCAGAATCAAGGCACTTGTGGTGACTCACTGCCACCAAGCAGTTCCCAGGCCCGGGCGGGGTCCTCATTTATCCCCCAGGAGAACTCAAGCCAGGGGCGAAGGCTGCCCTGGTCACCTGGTCCTTCCCATCTGGGTCCATTCCCATCCTGCCCTTCTTTCTCGCCTGGGATACTGGGGAGCAGCCTGGTGACTTGGTGGGTGGCAGGGTGAGTCTGTGGCTGGAAGACCCCAGAAATGGTGTGGGGCTTCTGGGGGCATCTTGCCAGGCTTCTGGGACCCCTTTCCTGGTGCGTGGGCCAGGCTCCTCTGTGACCTCCCTTCTTCCCCCGGGTGACCACTGGCTTTGGAGGGAGCCTGTGGCCTGTGGCCATGCAGCTGCCTGCTGTGTGTTAGCCTTCGTTTCCTGCACTTGCGAAATTCCATCCGTGCGGACCCGGGGTGCCTGTCTCATTCATGCGTTGGGATCCAGAGAATCTGTTACCGTCACTGGTGCAGATGACTTGGTCCTTGGTCACAGGATTCTCCTGTCTGCGTGACGTCACCCACCCTTGGTTCCTTGGCATCTCTTCGTTCCCAGATGCTCCTGGCCTGTCCAGTCCTCTTTTTCGAGAGTCACAGCCAGAGGGTGGGACTGAAAGGGGCTGAGGACGGGTTGGGAGGGATCGAGGGCTCTGCATCTTGTGCGGTCAGAACTTGGACCGGGACAAAGCTTGGCTGCACAGCGCCTGCCTGGCAAGCTCAAGGTCGTGAGTTCGATTCTTGGTACAAAAAAGAATGTGCTCGTCTTTGGAGGAGCCCCTGGGACACCATGTGCTCGTTCCAGAGTCACCACCACCGCACAGTATGTCCTGGGGACCAAATGAGTTTCCGAGAAGATGACAGTTATTTTAAAAAGCCAGGGAATCAATAAAAGAAGACGCAAGCTGAAGTGGTGATTTGAAGGGAAAAGCACTTACGAAATCTGACCTCTGCCCTCGATGAGCTTTGCTTTGGTCTTTATCAGAGCCCCGGAGGCTGTGACAGGGCCGCAGGCAGGGACAGGAACCTTCTGAATTCTGCCTCTTTTAAATCTTTTATGCTGTTTTATGCTTGGTTCCAAGTGCTGGTATCCAGTGCTGGTTTTCTTTTCAGTGTAACAAGGAGCAGAGTTGTGGTGACATCCCGGCTCCTGGCACCCACCCCATGCTAGTAGCAGCCCGAGTCTCTTTCCTTGGTGATATTTTAACGTGAAAAAATACTGCTAAAAAAAGACTTCAGTTTACAGTGTGTGAGAAGGTGGTGCGGAGGGTTCCTCCCATTTCCTCTTTGGTTTTCTTTCTGTTGATACCGGGAATCTAACTCACGACCTTGCACTTGCCAGGCAAGCTCTTGCATCCCTGAGCTGCATCCCCAGCCCCAGGCTCCCTCTTTTCTTTAATGTCTCCAACAGCCCGGCATGTTTGTCACGAATACACAGTACGAACAGGTTGCTTCATTCAGGTTTCTTTGGTGTCCTCAGCACCAGGATTGCTCTGTCCTGTTGGTCGCTGTGTCCCCGGACGCTCCTGGCCTGTGGCAGTTCCCCAGACTCCCCTCAGCCTCGGGGCCTGGATGGTTTTTCAGAGAGCTGGCCGGGTACTGTGCAGGATACCTTCCTGTGGAGATTCGTCTGATCCTTTTCCCATAGTTACACTGGACTCGGGGCCTGGGGAGGGCAGACCTGAGCACCGTGCCATCGTGTCACCTCCATCAGCATGTCTTAGCTCACAACACCTTCATGCTTTTATTTTTGTAGTACTTGGGGCCTCATGCATGCTAAGAAAGTGCTTATTTCCAGCCCGATTTAGAATTAATTTACCTAGCCGGGTGTGGTGGTGACACCTGTAATCCCAGCATTTGGGAGGCTGAGGCAGGAGGATCGCTGCAAGTTTGAGGCCAGCCTGGGCTTCAAAGTGAGTAAGTGAGTTCAAAGCCAGCCAAAAATGCATAGTGAAACACCTGTCTCAAAAAAAGCCAAAACCCAGAAGCACAAACAAAATAAAATAGAATTAATTTATCAGAGTTAGGAGTGAATAGTAATTGAGTGTTGAACAAATTCTACCTTCTTTTCATCGGCCTTGGGATTGGAACCCAGGGTCTGGCACGTGCGAGGTGAGCACTCTGCCATGGGGCTGCCCACAGCCCCGCCTTTGCTTTCAAAAGGACCTGGCTCTGTCCTCTGTGGCTGGCATGAGTTGGCCCATTTTCCAGACAAGAGGACCGAGGCTCAGAGAGGCAGGTAGTACTATGCCAGGTCCCCCCACTGCTTGTCAGTTGCTTTGGCTCCTTTTCAGGTTTCCCGTTCTTACAAACTCACTGCGTATGCAGCTTTCTGTCCTCCACCAGCAACTTCCTGAGAGTATAGTCCCCAGAGGGTCTGCAGGTCAAGGGGAGCACGGAGGTTTGCACCCAGAGCAGGCTCTTACCATAAGACGGAGCTGGTTTCCAGGCCATGAGCAGCCCCGCAGCTCGGTTTACCCACTTCCTCCCTGAGCCGTGCAGAGTTTGTCATTTTTATTTATTTTGCTGTGTGACTCTGTCACACACTTCTCCCCCTTGGCTGGTAGAGGGTTGGCACCCGAACAGCAGGCTGTTGGCAGAACTCGGGGTACCCTCGCAGGACAGAAATGGGGCTCGGCTGACATGATTTTAAAAATGTGCCCCTGGCCAGAGAGTGTCTCTCTGAGTGGTGGCTGGGGCCGTGGTTAGTGGTGGCCTGTAGGTAATAAGCCACAGCTACCAACAGTGACCGCTGTGCTGGCTGCCAGCACACCTGTGGCAGGCCTGGCGCATTTGTGACACTGAGCCCCAGCCATGTCTCATCTTTAGACTGTCCTGTGGTGCCTTTCCCACCACCAGACTCCCCATTGCTGGTGACACGAACAAGACATCACTGCGGGCACTTCCCCATGCCTGTAATCCCCGAACTCTGGGAGGCTGAGGCAGGAGGATCACGAGATCCAGCCCAGCCTCAGAAATTTAGTGACTTGGCAAGACTGTCTCAAAAACTAAAGAGTTTACAAAGGGGCTGTAGCTCAGTGTGAGGCCCTTGTGTTCCATCTTCAGTATCTCACACACACACACACACACACACACACACCCCAGTGCTCCCCAAACCCAGCAAGGGTCCACACAACTGTTCACACTGCGTCCATCTGCACTTTGGTCTCTGTGGTTCTGATCTTCAGTGAACCTGTTAGCTGGACTCAGGGCTCCCAGTTCCTGGGGGTGCTCAAGGCAGAAGCTTTACGGGTGGCTCTGTGGCCACACTGGCCTCTTCCTGGCGGGTTGGCCAGGAAGGCTCCGTCTCCATCCAGGCGCCTCTGCCCCGGGGGTGGTAGGGACCACATGACCCAGAGGATGGGCCTTGGCCACCTTGCCCAGGGAGAGGGTCCATGCCTGGGGGCCACCCCTTCCTCCTTTCCATGGCAGCAAGCAGGTGTTAGATGTCACCATAGGCTCCGCCACACCCTGGCCCCTGCGTGACATGGGGCTTCCTGGAGTGGAGGGCAGGGGCCTGAGAAAAGCAGGTACAGGTCATGCCACAGAGGCTGCATGCAAGGAAGGGATGTGACCAGAGGACCACTGTCCTGTCAGTCACCTGCCTAGAGGTCCTGCAGTAGGTTTTATGGGGCTTCCAATCCTGAGAGGTTCCCTGGGGCGGCGGCAGCAGCCACCAACTTGCTTCAGCCCATAGAGGCTGCCTGGACTCCAGTCCAGGGTTTTCAGCACGAGCTGGGGGGTTGAAGAGGGGGTCCCTCACACGCAGATGGCTGAGTAGCCCTACAGCTGGAGAAGTGAGCTTTGGGGATGACCACTGACCTCCCACCTTGCTCACTGCGCTCCAGACTGAGGACCCCCTGGCTGGAGTTCAGTGCTGCACCACCATCTGTGACCCTGGGGTGCTATTTGCTGATGGGTGGGCGGGGCAGGGACGGGCTGCCACGCCCTCCTTGAGAAGGTTTCTTTTTTTTTTTTTTTTTTGGTACTAGGGATCGAACTCATAGCCTTGTGCTTGCCAGGAGGGCACTTACACCACTGAGCTAAATCCCCAACCTTTCTGTTCTTTGGCTTTTTGCAGATTCCAGAGCTAGAAGGAACCTGATGGTAAGTGTCTCTCCCTCACCCCATCCCTGCTTCGTTCCCCCCAACCTCACTCCTCAGGCTGCTGGGAAAGGGGGAAGTGGCTGGGGACCCCTCCCTCTGTGCCCAGGGATCAGCCTTGGAGATCTCTGGGCACCAGGCCCAGCCTGGGACCTCAGCAGACCTTGGCCCCCCACCCCACCTCACCCTCCAGTCTGGCCTGGACGCAGGGGTTTTCCAGAAGGGCTTGCAGCAGTAATTTGGTTTTGACCACACTGGGCACCAGGTCTCTCAAGGAGGAGGTGATGTAGTGTATTTCCCTTCCCTCCTTCCCTGCGGGAGTCTTGTCCCTGAACCTGGGTGACAAATCAATTTATTTTCTTTAGTAGTGCAAATTTTTTAATAGATCGACTCCCAGGAATTGCACATTTACCATACGTGCTGGGCACTGTGTGCTTTCTGGAAGCGGTCCCTGGGCTCTGGTCCACGCTCAGAGATACTCTTATCTTGTCATCCAAAGGAAGAGCCAGCAGCTGGGACAAGTCAGGGATTCTGCAGCCAGAGGCTCCGCTGGGATGGAGCCTGGCTGTGTGGAGCCCCAGGACTGGCGCTGGACCCTGTGCCCCTCAGCTGGGAGGTTGCTTACAAAGTGCTTGCCAGATGTCCAGCATGGGGCTGGGGGCTTTTCAGACACCAGGCTGGCATTGAACTCACAGGGATCCTCCTGTCTGAGCCTCCTAAGTGCCAGAATTTTAGGCAGGCACCCCCCTGGCTCCTTTTGAAGATTGAAAGTGAATATTACTCATCACCATCTGAGACCACCTTTCCTTTGCATCTGCCTGTAAGAGTAAAAACACAGAGCTGGGCTTGGTGGCTCATGCCTGTAATCCCAGCACTCGGGAGGCTGAGGCAGGAGGATCGTTGTGAGTTCGAGACCAGCCTGGGCTACAAAGTGAGCTCAAGGCCAGCCTGAACTGCATAGCGAGACCCCGTCTCAAAAAAAAAAAAAAAAAAAAAAAAAGTAAAAATGCAAACCAATACTCTCAAGACAGCACTATTTTTGGAACTGATCAGGGTCCCCTAAGGTAAAAGGTTTCGGTTACAGGGGGTCAGGGCTGGAATCCTGGGGCCAGTAATCTCCAGAAGGCAGGGGTCCGGAGGAGATGCCAGCATTCAGGTCACACCAGGCACTTACTGTGTGACCCTGGGTGAGCTACTCTGCTTCTCTGTGCCTCATTGTTCTGGTCTAGAAAAGGGGCAGGTGCTAGTGTCACAGCTCAGGGCTTGTGGGGTTGGACTTGTCCATGTCTCAGAGCTGGCCAGACACACGAAAAGCCACCCGAGTGGCTGCCTACAACTTCATTATTTTGCACAAATTAAAAGCAACCAATTTCCTCAGAGAGGCTGCCCACAGGTGCCTTGCACTCTCGAGGCTGAGAGACCCCAGGGTGGCTTGGAGCAGCGCTAAAGCAGAGGGGAAGCTCCCCCAGGTCAGAGGCAGGGAGTGGGGTGACCTGCCTCATCTCTCTCCTTTCTCAGTGGCCCAGGAGTGATGTGCCGGGGACAGAGCCAGGGACAGAAGCACTGAGTGTGGCGGGCCCCCAGGTTGTGGAGACCTGTGCCAACGTGGGGGCGGCCAGCCCTGAGAACCTGCTGCTGCTGGATGCCAGCCCTGCCGGGGACGAGGTGTCCCCCAGGGATCCCCCCGAGCCCCGGGTGTCCACGGAGCACACCAATAACCGCATCGGTGAGTCGGCCTGTTCATGGGGCTGTGGGGTGGCCGGTGGGGCCCTGCAGGGCAGACATGTGGATGCCCTAGCCCCCGAGGCTAGCATGGTCCTGCCTGGGTGTAGGCTCTGCTGGGCTGAGCAGCAGGAGTGTGCTTCGGCTTCGGCAGCCGTGGGGAGACTCGTGGCATCGGAAGCCAGGGTGCAATCCACAGCACCGTGTGCTAGGATTAAAGAGCAGGCGAAGCCCCTCCCTGACTCCACCAGAGGGGACAGGAGGAAACACAGCGGGAACCTCAGGATGCAGCCTAAGATTCCCAGCCTGGCCCCCGCAGCCATCCGGTTCCCGCACCCTCCTGACTCCGCCGTCTACTTTCCCGACATCCTCTGCTCGCAGCCTCTGTGTGGGAGCTGCCCCCCACCAGCCAGGAAGCCTGCCCTGCCCTCTCCATACCAGTGCTCCTGGGCTCTGGATCCTGACCCTGGCTTCCCCTGCAGGGCTGGCCACTGTGTCCACATCCTCGCCCAGCGCTGTGCTGGTGGAGGGGGGCGGCCCTCAGTGGGTGTGCAGAGGGGTTTGTAGTGGTTCCACACATGCCTGCTGCAGGCGCTGGGGGTGGAACTGTGGGGTGCCTTTCATCTTGAACAAACTTGCAGTTGTAGCTTTCAGTAAATTGTGTTAAAAAAGAACACCTTTGGGGAAATACTGCCAAGGGCTTCTCCTTCAGATTTCCTAAGAAGTCCTGACTGGAGGTTGTGAGTCCAAGCTGAACACAGTGCCTGCAAGTCGGGTGGAGGTGGGGCTGGGGTTGAGGAGTTGGGGAGCAGAGGTGGCACTCATGGGGCAGCCTTGCCTAGCCCCCTGCCAGCCTCTCGGGCACAGGGTGCACAGGGCAGGTCTTGGAGGTCCTCTTGGAGAGGACCCCTTGTCTTCCTGGTGCCCCGAGGCGCACCTCATCCACTTCCTAGGCAGGACACAGTGAGGGCTGGATTTTCATCCTTGACTCCAGGCACCGAGTAGGAACCCCTAGCAACCCTGGAGGACCCTGTGGCTGCAGGCAGGGTTTAGCAGAGCCAGAGGCCTTCCTGGCTTCGGCCTGAACCCACCCCTCTCCCATGCCCTGCTGTCCTGCTCCTGTTTCTCATCTCTTGTCCCTTCTGTCCTCCTCTGGCCGGCATGCACTGTCCCTGGTCTCTGACCCAGCCCCTCTGGCCAGGATGCAGGCTTGGTTGGAGGCCTGGGTCTCTGAGTTTTTGAGCTGGTTCCTTTGCTTTGTCCGGCCCTGGTTCCCTCTGTCATTTCTAATATTTGTCTTTCCTGGGAGGATCAGAAACCAAAATAACAAAGCTGACATTGTGCAATGAGGTTGGGGATGCCAGGGCCCCTGGGAATCTTTTTGGGGTTCCTGAATCTGAGGGGTGTAACCAGTTACCCCAGAGAGGCAGGGGTCCCTGCCCCTGTTTGCCCTGCTTTCAAGTTCCCTCTTGAATTTCCGCATGTGGCCTCTGGGGCCCAAGGCAGGACAGCTGGAGCTGGAGCCCAGCCCGAGTCTGAGAGTCTGAGGCCGCCAGCGCTGGGCGTGGCGGGCAGAGCGGCTGCCAGGGCCCAGCCTGGGCTCCCCTGCGGCTTCTCCACAGCCTGCCTCCCCCCAGCCTCCACATCTGCAGGCTGTGATGGAGCCCCCGTGTCAGCACTGCCTCAGCCATCCCGGTCACACTGCCCAGGCCCTGCCTGCTGCCTGTACGAAGTGGCCCACTGGGCAGGCCGGCCTGCACTGAGGGGCTCCTGGGATGCTGGGCTTTTACTGCCAGGCAAACAGGGACAGGCCGGTCACCCAGTGCCTACTTCAGGCAGGCGGATGAAAGCAGAAGGGACAGCCATGGGGGGTTGGGGGGTTTCCTTTGGGATTTCACTTGATGACTCTGAAGAGGTCCTTGGACCTTGCCGGGCTTGCGGTTCCTGTCGGTGCAGTAGGACAACATTGGCCGTGCCTCGGAGTTGGTGTACGACGAGGGCCTAGTAGATACTCAGCTCTGCTGCCTCCCCTAGGGCCACTGCCACCTGTGCCGCTGGCCTCCTCCACTCTCCCAACTGTCCTCAGAATGCCACCTTAAGGGGCAGGTGCCCAGCTCTGTGCATCAGAGAGGCTGTGCCACCGGCCGGGAGTCACACAGCAGGAGCTGTGGGAGAGGGACTGGGTTCCTCTGCCGGCTCCTTACTCCTTCCTGGGGCTCTGAAATCCTCACCTCACCCAACCCTTTGCCTTGCAGAGAAAATCTACATCATGAAAGCCGACACAGTGATCGTGGGGAGCGTCAAGACGGAGCTGCCTGAGGGCCGGGGCCCTGCGGTGCCTGAGCTGGAGACAGACCTGGAGGTGGACCAAGCGTCCCACTACCCCGAGCAGGAGACAGAGCCGCCCCTGGATAGCTGCGGAGACGTCATGTTCTCGGTGGAGGAAGAGGGGAAGGAGGACCCCTGGCTTTCTGCGAAGTGAGGAGGCTCGGAGGAGGACTGGGGCGGGAGATGTGGTGGGGCCCTAGGGGGCCAGGGTGGCCCTGGTGAGGACGAGCTGGCGGAGAGAGGCCCCCATGGCTTGGACTGAGGTCCTGGCATCCCACAGGGGACTGGGGATGGGCACCCTGCCTCTGCGGCTGCCCAGAGCACTGGCCCCAGACCTGGCCTCCCACGCTCACTGCCGGGGCCAACGCCCACTGAAAGAGGGGGTGCAAGGCTGGTCCCAAGCACCCTTGTGCCCTCTCTCTCGCTGGGCCTTGGCAGTGATGCCCAGTGGGCCTTGCTGGCACGCGGCCAGCCCCCAGTTACAGTAAACCTGGTTCCCAGTGGGCCGCGAGCCAGCACTTGTGGTTTGCTCCTGAGTCAGAAGGGAAGTTGAGGGACGGGGTGGCGGCAGCAGCAGCAGCAGCACTGGTACCATCTGGGCCATCCTTGTCACGGGGCTCTCGGTGCTGGGCAAGAACCCGGCCTGGCCCCCTGACAGCGTGGGCTCAGTGGGACCTAGCTGCCCCTGTTCCCCATCCCAGGAGGGCCCAGGACCAGGCACTGGTCTCAGGACATCTCAGCAGTCCCCATCACAGCAGTATTTCGAGACCAGGTGCCTGTGGGCCTTAAGTGGCTACGGGCCAGGCCGCAGCTAGAGACTCAGCCTCTGCCGCAGACCCCGTCCACCCAGCTGCTGCAGAGAATGGCCGGCCCCCTTTGCCCAGCGACCTCCTTCCAGCGAGGAGCTGGGACTGCAGCCCTTCCTGGAGCCCTCGACTGCTCAGTCCTGGGAATGCGGGAACATCTGTCTTAGATGTTCCATGCTTGTGAAGCCATTTGCTCCAGCCCTGCCCTCTGACCCGCACCACCGCATCCCTCCCGGGTGGCCGCAGGAAAGACCCTGGTCTCACACGGACCCGGCCTCGTTGCACCAGAAGAAAAGAGCATTCAGTGGTTTCAGCTGGATTTGGGGTACCCTGGGGTACACCCAGAGGAGCACAGCCCCTGGGCCTCACAGCCTACAGCCTGCACCCTGGGCCTCTTTAACAAACAAGGGGTGATGACACAGCGGAGGGTCAGCTGCAGTGGGGACTCCTGGACTTACCCGTGCCCGGAGGCTGTGTTTACTCACCAGCGATTGCTCCCTGGAGGAAGTTGGGGCTGCCTGGGAGTCAGAAATGCAGTTTCTGAAACCACTCCGATGTTTTGGGGAAAGTTGGAACAACTCGGCCACAGAGAGAGGCGACCGCACACTGGACCTGGATCCTGGCCAGGAGGGCTTGGAGTGTTTGCCACCATCTCGTGCCAGGATGGAGCGGGTGTGCCTGCCCCAGGGCTGTACCCAGAAGGAATGCGTGGGTGCCACAGGGCCCTCGGACAACCTTGGCCAAACAGTGCAACGCCTCCAAAGTGCGCTTTGTGATTTTTAACCCTCTAAAATCCATAAGATTCTTTAGAAATGGTGATTCAGCCGGGGATGTAGCTCAGCACCGCAGCACCTGGGTACCAAGTGTGAGATTCCGGCACTGAAAAGAAAACCTCCTAAGTCCAAGCAGTGGTCATGGAGATGGCATTTGAAATGCCTTGGGCAGGAAGGTCAGAGGAGTCTCTCCCCAGGGCTGGGGCTCCTTCTGCACCCCAGCACCCCATGGCCCCCTCTCATCCCCAGAGAGCTCTCCCTTATCTGGCCTGGCTGCTTCTCAATCCATGGAACCCCAATCCCTGGCCTGCCCTTTGTGGAATGTTATCACTTGTCACAGGCTGCCTTTGGGTGCTTGAAAAAGGGGTCAGAGCCTCTTGGGGGTCCTCTGGCCCTGGGTCAGCTGAGCAGCTGGTGACTTTGGAAAGGAGCTCCCAACAGAAAACAGGTGTCAAGCCCAGAGCAGCAGCGGGAGAACCGTGTGAGCCATGGGCTTCTGGGACTGAGCCCTGCTCCCCTGGGCACAGCTTGGGAAGCCAGCCTAGTGGCCCTCTGACTGCGGTTCCCAGGTGGGGTGGAGACCAAGGGCCATGTGTAGAGGCTCGCCCTGCCCCCCAGCCCAGCCCGGGGGCCAGGCCCAGTGCTGTGTGTGTTGGGTCCTCCTTGACTCTGGCTGTTCCAGTGTCCCCAAGGTAGATGCACAGGGCCCCTGCTCCACTCGGTAGCAATTCCTAGGCTGCAGAGACCCCACCCCCATCTCCCTGGACGGAAGAACCGTGGTAAGTGACCTGTGGAAGCTCCTGCCTTCAAGGCAGAAGCATTGTTTCCGGTCATGACCTGTTTCCTGGCTCCCAGGAGCTCTGAGGTCCGGCACCAGCCCGGCCACAGAGCCAGAGAACTGGTACCCACTTCCAGGCGGAGGTCCTGAGGGTTGAGTCCTGGCCAGTGGTCCCCAGTGGTCACAGTGGGCACTGCTGTGTAGGAGGATTGGAGTTCTGTCTTCTGTCCCGAAGAGGGGGTGGCACGCTTGGTGACTGCAGCTTTGAACCCCAGCTCTGCTGTTGACCAGCCAGCTGGCTAGGGTTTGTTCCCTGACCTCTCTAAGGCTCGGAAGCTTGGTTCATTTTCCATGACTGCAACAACACCTGAGCCTGGGGGATTGTTTTTCCTCCCCCCGGCTCTCCTCCTCCTTCTCTACCTCCTCTTCTTCCTCTTCCTCCTTTTGTTTCATTTTTTGAGACAGGGTCTCACTATGCCTTCCAGGCTGGCCTTGAGCTTGTGGCGATCCTCCTGCCTCAGGCTCCCAAGTGCTGGGTTACAGGTGTGCGCCATCCCAGGAGCCATCCCTTCCTACAGGGCCCCATCCTGCTTACAAGGGTCCAACTGCTGGGGACACTAGAGCTGGGGAATGTGTCCTCCAGGACTCTGAGCTCCCCCAGTCATATACTCAACTAGCAAGGTCTGGAAAGTCAGGGGAGTAGCCTGTGCAAAGGCCCTGGGGTTCTCAGGCTGCTGGCAATGCCATTTGGGTGGAGCACTGGGAAAGGCAGCTTGGTGAAGGAGGAGGCAGAACAGCAGGCGGTTGCAGGGGCAGCTGATCTGTCTGTCTGTCTATCTGGGTCTGTCTGTCGCTATGGTGGGGCTGGGTAGCCGGAGCCACTGTAAGGTGTCAGATCTCACAGAGCTCTGCTAGCTGTTTTTCCCTTACCCCAACACACACACACACAGACACACACCCCAGTGCATATCCTGGTGGTGTCCCAGCCCTGAGCAAGAAAGGCCAAGCCCCGGGGCACCTATTTCACCAGGAAGCTGGGGTCACAGCTGTTGCTGGCAGCCAGGAAACACTTGAATGTGCTTCCCAGAAGGAGCAGGGAGCTAAGACAATGTTCCCGGTCTCGCTGGACGCTGGAGGGCCAAACAGCTGGGAGTCGCCCCTGGGGGTTCTGCTTTCTTATTGTGAGTCTTTCAGGGAAAGTGAAAGCCGAGAAGCTCCTGGCTGCCCGGTCGTCCCCCCCAAACCCCCCGTTTCTTGACAAGGCCTGGATGGGCAGCAGCAGCTCTGCCCAGCTCTGCTGGGCCCAGGCGTGGCCCAAGGAGGCCCCTGGTACTCTCTGCTCCCTGACCCGTGAAATGGACAAAGAAGGAGGCTGACTTTACTCCTTGTGTTCCAGGGGGTTGGGGGCACCCACTTGAGGACAAAGGCCAGGCCCGGTGGCCGGCATGGCTGAGTCCTCTGAACCTACAGACAGGATGCAGAGTGAACCTATCAGAACTTCGTTCCCGAAGTCACTTTCCTAGAAGGGTAACCAAGAGTTAAAATGGACTTTCAAAAATTAGGATTTTTAGACAGACGTGACACAGACCTGTAATCTCAGCACTCAGAAGGCTGAGGCAGGAGGATGGCTAAAGAATTCAAGGCCAGCCTGAACTGGGTAGTGAGCTATTTCTCCAACACCCTCACGCTGAGAGCAAATGTTGCCCTGGTGGCAAAAGACATTCGATACCTCCTGCCGGTTAGTGGCTACAGCCTGGGTAAACCTACACACTGGTCCTGCCCCCTGCCATAAACTGGAGTCCTTTCGGGTGCCCTCGCTGTAGCCAAATCGTGAATAAATTCACTTTTCCACTGTTCCAAGCTCTTCATGCACCCTTGACGGCAGGCAGGCAGGCAGGCAGGCAGGCAGGCGGGCGGGTGCATCCAGACAGGCGGGGCTCAGACACAGGCCTCTGCAACTGGGCTGGTGTGACTCGGGGCTGCAGGGAGACCAGAGCCTCCGAGCGGACAGCCTGGTGGCCACAGCACCCCTCACTGTCTCGGGGACACCATGTCCTGCTCTCTGTCCAGCCACAGAGTCCACCAAGAAAGGATGAGTGAAGAAAGGCCCTCTCCCCGTCCCCGGCCGGCCTGGCCCCTCAGGCCTGCTCATCCATCTGTCCCTGGTACCCTGCTGCGTGCTGGCTGGGGGGACAGAGTGGGAGAGATGACTTACTGATTTCATTCTCCTCAAAAACATGGGGTCATTTGTGAATAAGGAGGGATCGAAGGGAATGGGGAAAAAATATCTGTAACGTGCAGGTACAAGTTTCCTGTGATGGATGTGATCGTTATGTGTATCTAAAATGAAACAATAAAAATTTAAAAAGGGGAACCCCCTCTGCCAAACCCCAAAAAAACATGATGTCAGAACTAACCAGCAGAGGTGGGTATGGTGGTACATGTCTATAGCTGTAGCTACTCGGGAGGCTGAGACAGGAGTTGGAGCCCAGCCTGTAGTGAGATCTCGTCTCAAAATAACAATCCTGATAATGAGTCGGGGCCTCGGTTGCTGGCAAATCTGTGAGAGCTGTCATCAGAGCTGAGCTACTGCAGGAACAGAGATCCTGTCGCTTGCAGTTTGAAACCTTGCGGTCACCGAGGACCCCACACTCAGAAGAGCCCTGGGCTTGATTGGTGTTCCATGGTCGCCGTCTTGAAAGTGGCTAATGGTGTTTAAACGGGGAGCTCTGGGTTCTCCGCTTTCCCTGGGGCCCACAGAATATGCAGCCTGTGTAGGGGAAGCAAGTGTGTAGTAGGAATTTACTCAAAGCAAGCACTTTCACCCACCATCTTTCCCTCGCTCCCTGAGACAGGCTCCCGCTACACTGCCCAGGCTGGACTCAAGCCTGTGTTCCTCCTGCCTCAGCCTCCTGAGTGCTGTGATCACCAGTGTCCCATCACATCTGGCTTGCGTGCTTATTCCTATTTTTTTTGTGTTAAAGGTCTGTTCATGGACCTTAACTCTTCTGTTTCTTTCTTGCTAAGTAATAAACTGTCTCAAAATATAGTGGCTTCTGTGGCCGGGGATTTAGTTCAGGGGCGTAAGTGCCTGCCTGGCAAGTGAGAGGTCGTGAGTTCGATCTCCAGTACCAAAAAAGCAAAAACAAAATGTAGTGGCTTCAAACAACTGTGGCACCACCAGATGCGGTGGTGCACACCTGTCAGCCAGCATCCTGGGACGCCAATGAGGAGGATCACAAGTTCAAGGCCAGGGGAGGCAGTTTGGTGGGACCCTGTCTCAATCGCAAAAGGGCTGGGGATACAGCTCAGTGCAAAGGGCCTGGGTCAGTTAAGATGTCCTGTGTTTTGCTCACAGTTCTGCAGTCTGCCCAGGCTTGTGGGGAAGCCTCCTCTGCTCCCACTGTACCCCTGGGTAGTGTGGCCCCTGGCCTCCTCCAGGAGCAGCCTGGGTGCCCTCATGGTGTGGGGCGGGATCCTGCCACCCACAGCCCCAAAAAGAGCCAGGGTCTTTCAGCTGGGCCTTCGTCCGTGCACTGTGCTCTACCGGCCACGCAGGTGCAGAGCCAGGCCCAGCAGCCCACGGCCCCCACCCTCTCTGACCGCATTCCCTGCACAGCTCCCCGGTTTCTCCATCCATTGATGCCCCACTGTTCCTGGGGTCAGGGTGGATTCCAGGGCCACCTGCCAGGACCTGAACCCTTGTCTCAGGTACAAGCTCTGGACTTTTTGAAGCCAACAGAAGGTGTGGTAGGCATGGGATTCAAGCCCCAGCTGTGTGTTGGACGCCCTTGCAGGGAGCAGGATCTGGCACCTCCCAGGGCAGGATGGGGCCCCCCGGGGCCGCTCGGAGCCTGGTCAGGAAGTCGCAGGGCTGTGGGCAGATTATGCAAGAGCAGGCTGGCGGCAGGGCCGTTGTTTTTCACCACGATGGCACTTTGCTCAGGAAATACCCGCGGCTCAGGCGTGCACTGCGGAGGCCCCGCACCTGCGCAGGGGCCCTCTCAGTGCTGGGCACTCATCAGGCGGAACGGGGTCCCCTGGGCCGGGTTTATTCACAGACTTTCCTCGAGAGCCACTCTGCCCTGCTGGCTCGACTCTGAGGACAGACGGCGGTCCTGTCCTGCCACCCAGGAAGCCAGATGCTAGGAGGAACTGGTTTTTATTGATGCTTCTTCAGGGGTTTTTTGGAGACAAGCTCCTTCTAGCTGG